GTCCTACCTGTCTACAGCTCCACTGGGGGCGGTCCTACCTGTCTACAGCTCCACTCAGGGTGGTCCTACCTGTCTACAGCTCCACTCAGGGAGGTCCTACCTGTCTACAGCTACAATCAGGGAGGTCCTACCTGTCTACAGCTACAATCAGGGAGGTCCTACCTGTCTACAGGTCCACTCAGGGTGGTCCTACCTGTCTACAGCTACAATCAGGGCGGTCCTACCTGTCTACAGCTCCACTGGGGGCGGTCCTACCTGTCCACAGCTCCACTGGGGGTGGGCACACGGCCTCTCTGCCTCCTCTTTGCCACAGATGCAGCTCTGGACGCTGACTCTGGGACAGGGTCGACACTCTGACAGACAACAGGGAGAGAGGTTCAACACCTGAGGTGAGGGCGCTACACAGTGAGCAGGCGGACGGCGCCCATGCGTGGCTTTCTGTACCTGTATGGCAGGGCTCTGAACAGGTGTGCTGTTTGCAGGGCAACAACTTGCCGCACTGCTGCTGACACGACCAGGCCTGCAGAGACAAGAAACGGCACAATCAGCGAGCTGCTCCTTCAGCAAAACACACCTGAACACAGCTTAAACCTTCTTCTGATGCTTTACCTTGTTGCTACAGCGGCGGGGGAGGGGCTTAGCTTTCCCGCACATGCACGTCACCGACACCATCTTGGGACACGGAGGGCAGGGACCTGAGGACACAGAGGTCTGGGGTAGACCAGGAATACCACCAAGTGTCTGCAGCGCTCACTGAGCTACGTTTACACCTGTGTGACTACAACCACATGCAGAGGCAGCTAGAACTGAATGACCGCCCACAGCAGCCACAGCTGCAGCCGACCACCGTCAGAAACTAACCCCGGCCTTCACAGCTGTTGGACTGGAAGTCGTTAATAATGTTCAGGTACGTCTGCTTAGTTCTGCTCATGGTGGTTTAAAACTTCTCCAGAATGACTCACTCACTCAACGTGACCACGCTGTCTTCACTGATCTAAAACTTGACCAAAATGGATTAAAAGACGCTAAAGATCGACTTAAAATCATTCTACAATGACTTTAAACACGTCCAGAATACCTCAAGTTAGTCCAACATGCCTGAAATCATGTTTAAAATGCTTCAAAGCTCATTAAAATGTCTGACATGAAACACAATTCAGACGAATGTTTGTGTACATGTGAATTATCCACAGGTACATCAGCACAGCTCTGCCCATCGCTCAGCTGCTGAGACCGAAGAACATATTTAGTCGCATATAAAACCTGCTTATCGACGTCCACATGCAGACGCATGAACGGAGGATCCCCTGATCTTCACTTTGGTCGGAGGTTTTTGAAAGAAGCGATTTTATGCCGTAAATCTGCGCCTTCGTGTGGATGACAGGCCGAGTCGTAGAAAAGCATCTTGGTTTTGTGGGACACCCTGCTAGGTGTGGACAAGGCCTCAGTCACAATGACTGACGTGGATCAGTGACTTCATGTGAGAGTGAAGACGTGTGTGTGGTTACCGGGGTGACAGAGCAGCAGGCAGGTGTGTCCACAGGTGGGTCGGAGCTCCTTCTGACAGACCGATCCACAGGAGTGAGGGACCAGCCAGGGGTCGGCCGGAGGATCCTGCAGCTTCCCACAGTAGCACATGTACCTGAACGCACCGTGAACACACACCACAAGACGTCACTCACACCAACAGACCGTCACCTCCTCTGGCAAAACAAAACACCTGAAGAGGTTTGCTCAGGTTCTACAGGTGCACAGAAAACCAGACGGGGAGCAGGAGAGATGCAGCGAAAAGAAAGATTCAGCTGCTCAGCTGCAGCGTTAATGGACCACGACTGATGTGCAGCTGAACCCAGTCCACGCAGACTGGGTTCTATCTGTTCTATTCTATTTTGTCTCACATTTGTTGTTTTCTGTTTATTTGCGGATAAAATCATCTTTTCCTCCTTGTTTCACTGTTTCAACCTGCCAGGTGAGCTGACACCAGGGAAACACCTGAAGGTTCTTCTTCTACCTCCAGAAACATTTAAGGGGTTCGAAGTAAATCTCTCAGTGATTCAAGGAGAAACCTGAAGGATAATCTGTGCAACCGGCTCCACAAAATAATGCTGAAAACTGTCTGTTGTATAAAATATTCCATTTTCTGAAATACAGGAAAGAAAATGCAGCAATATTGTCAACATCAGACTGAATCAGTCAGAAAACCTCATTTAGAAATGTAGTCTCTGATGTCCAGAGACTACATTTCTAAATGATGAATCATTCCAGCGCTGCTGTTTTCACAGAGCGGCTGCATAAAACACACCATTAAACATCGAGAAAGACAAATAAATGTGCAGATGTTCAAAGAAAAACGAGTCCCAGCCGGTGTTGATCACCTCGGCTGAGCGGTGTGGAGCCCCCTGCTGGAGGACAGCACCCTGATTTGTCCTGCACACTCCATAAACCGTCCACATCGACTCCAACGTGTTAAAAAGGAGGGAAAAATGTCCAGAATGATTTTAAACTTGTTCAAAATTACTTTGAATTTTTCGAAGATGACTTGCATCACAGGAAAAACTCGACATGAGACTGAGTTCTTGTGCAGCCCAGAACCTGCTGATCTGTGCTGCAGAATGAAGCAAAGCTGATCAAGACTCAAATTAGAACGACTCAAGTCTGGTTCAAAACGACAGTAAACTCGTCCAGAATGATTTTAAATCCCTCCACTAGTACATGAATCTTCTCTAAACCACTCAAAGCTGATCACAAGGATCACGTTTTCTGTTCTTGTTCAGGTCACAGACGACGGCAGCATCCAACGTGTTCTGTGTGAACCGAGAGGATTTACAGGCCTCGGGTCCATAAAAGTGCCTCCAGGCGGTGAAGCGGGTCAGACGTACCTGTTGGGCGTGGCGCTGGGCGGATATTCTGCTCGACACTTTGGGCTGAGGACACAAAATCACAAATCAGAACCAGAACTGTCCAGAATGATTTTAAACCTGCCAAGAAGGACTGAAAATCTGTTTAAAATGATGCAAACTCTGTCCTCAAGCATTTAAAAAGTTGTTGTCTATTTCTTATATTTACATGTACTTTTTTTTTCTGTCTCGTATGTGTGTATCTCTGTGTTTAATGCTGCTAACAACAACGTGAATTTCTCCACTGTGAGATAAATAAAGGCTGATCTTATCTTATCTTAAATAAAAACCATTTATTAATAATAATTAATGCAGCTTCATCAAGAGCAGAAGGCTTCTCCAAAACTGTTCTGTTTGCTTCAAGCTCAACATGGAGGGTCCAGTCTGGTGAACTACAGTCGGTCTGATAGTCAGTCTGGTGAACTACAGTCAGTCTGGTGAACTACAGTCAGTCTGATAGTCAGTCTGGTGAACTACAGTCAGTCTGGTGAACTACAGTCGGTCTGAGGGTCAGTCTGGTGAACTACAGTCAGTCTGGTGAACTACAGTCAGTCTGATAGTCAGTCTGGTGAACTACAGTCAGTCTGGTGAACTACAGTCAGTCTGATAGTCAGTCTGGTGAA